ATAGCGGGAGACACCAGGCTGACCTCGGATATATGTATGCCTCGTTTTCATCCCGAAATTCTAACGCCGACGGGGATCTTCTTAGTCTCTCGGGCGAACCTTGGCGGTAATAATTAACATCCTCATCATTGGTGCAGGAGGACGTTCAAATAGATTCGCGACGGATGGATATACCCTGAAAAGCCTCGAGGCCGCGTTAGATATACATACGCGTATACAAGATCATTCGTAAATGCCCTGCAGCCGGAATATATGCATGCCGAGCCTAGGTGGATCCTGGGAGAAGTTTGTAGAATATGCCGTCTTGCTATATGTATAGAGCGATATAGATTTATCAAGCACATCTCTGCGAAATTAGCCATGTTGGAATGTATGAATACCTTTGCTGCGCTAATTACTCGATATATTCGGTATTCGCGTCTCGATGCGGAAATCAATTCGCATTGATTGTTCGAAAGAAATTACGATGTGCTATCAAAGTTGTTGAAATTAATAAAGGAAAAAAAAAGGAAGAAAGAGAAAAAAAACTCGCGATTTCGTGTAATGCAACGCGAAAATAGCGAACGGCCGATGGCGAGAAAGGTCGCAAAAACGGTTAATAACAAAGTTGGTCTCCTCTGTCCCAAACCAATTTAGAAAATTATGTTTCCCGTCAAAAGAGACGACAATCCGCAAAAGTTGGACAACCGTGTAAAGGAACTTTTTAAAGAGTTTTCGTCGTTTGTCATGGTATATGACAAACTCTCTCTTTGAAAGTTAGCGTGGATAATAATCAATGTAATTGTTATACGAATCAGAGATATCTGCGCGATGTAAACTTTGTACACTTTTATTTTATGAATTTTAATTTGAATGCTTGGCTGAATGCTTTAGGAACGAAGAAAAAAAAGCATTAACGTAGAAATTGACCGGCTCCATTTGGATTGTCGTTGAAATCGAATTGTTCGGCCTGACGACCACACAGCGAAATTGACTGTGAATATTCGGCGTAACAATTTTTCAAATGCGATTTACACGGTTGAGAATATTTGCGTCATTTTAAATGCACAAAAAAGAGCTAGAGAAAGAGAGAGAGAGAGAGAGAAGGAGGGAGAAAATATTTTACCCATTAGTATTTTATTACGAATAAATATACGAGCCGGTAAATTAATTAAATTGTTTGCATCTTTTCATATTATTTTATTTCGCATCAATATAATTTCTGTGACATTTCAACAAAGCTTTGGAGCGAATACGAATGGATCGGAACTTTGCACCCGGAATATGTTAAATGTAAGGCACAGAGATCTACATATATCGCGGATACATAGAGATGGTACATGCACATGTATACGCGAAGCAAACGAAGATCTATAGTCGAACTTCCGAGCGCATGCATAGTTGTTCCGGCTGCACGGCGGAAGTTCGCGCGCGTCGTCAGTGAAATTGGGCGAAAACTTTCGGCAATTTAGCGTACGCGTACGAGTAATTCACTCGCGTCCGGCCTGTATCGACTTTGGGAAACGTATGTATGTCCATAGTATCGCATACGTCGCGAAATGCAACGATGTCGACGTTGAAACGCATCGTCCGACAGGCGTGCGAAACAAGGCCGAAAAATCGCCGCGATACACGTCGGACCAATACTTTTCCCGCTTCCGGTTACGTAGACCGACGCCGATAATGAATGAAGTCACATGGGGCGTGTACCGGGACTCCGACGCAAGCCAATTAGTCGACTGTTTCGTTTTGTCCCGAAATGACAGCATATTGGATACGCAAATTGCGTTTTATATATATATATATATATATACAATAATATATATATATATATATATATATATATATATAAAGTCGACTTTGTTAGTGTTAGAAAGAAAAATTCGTTCACCGAATGATGCTGTGATTATTATTCATTGTACCCAAAATGTTTGTAATTTATCAAAGTAAGAGAACACAGTCTCGGAAAAAACTTAGTTGATGTAAAAAATATTTATTCTAGAGATGACACGGATGCGATTTTATCGAACTGATTTCTTTATGTTTACCCGCTGAAATTTCAACTGTCGACATGTCCAGAGTGCTAAACTTTTCATCGATTCGATTTATAGCCCAACTGGTACAAATTATGTACTGGGAGTCGTGGAATTAGACTGTATGGATGAGAAAAGGATAATACGAGAAGACAGAAAGGGAAAATGAACGAAGAGAGAGAGAGAGAGAAACTAGCCGGTCCCATCGGCTCGGTGCTAATAATCGGGAAACACGAAGACGAGTTATGACAGCCGGTGTCGCAGTCCCTTTGGTGGGCCGCAATTGCGTGGACGACATGTTCCATTGTTCAAACAATACAGCCCTCTGCACCTTTTATTAGTACTGACCGTACGACCGTATCCCTCTCTTCATTTATGCATCCCTTCTCGCACATTCTCGATTTTGGAAATTAGTATAGTCAATAGTTGCGAGACTGTTCGCTGTTTGCGCGAACAATTTATCGATAGAAGGCGGATTCTGGTCAAAAGGCCATTCGCGCTCTGCTCCACATTATTAAATCGATTTTGCAGTCACGTTCCGAGCTATTTAAATCCATATTTATAAGAAAGACGGTAAATATTCCTTCACAAGCAAGCTGTTCTATTTTATACTGTCGTTTAATCGATAAAATATATAATATATTAGTTAATCGAAGAACCAACATTTTTACACGTGTAACACATGTTGGAGAAAATGAAGGAAAAAAAGAATTCAGCCTTGATTGCGAGATCTTAATAACGGAAAAGAGGCAGATTTTTTTTCGCAATATATTCTCGAGCAAACTATTGACGATTAAATTTGCAAACTGACTCGGAATCACCGTTTTCAATCTCGGTCGTGAAGGAAGAAGTCATCGCTATCTGAAAGTTAGGGTAGTTCGACGCTGGGTAATAAAACGTGACTTTACTCTGGGAATAATATCGGCTATAAAGTCAGGAATAGTAAGGTAACAGCAATGTTGTATGTTCGGAAAGTCAATTCCACACGTTCACCTGACGGGAAATACTCGCGACATTTGTGCGAAACAAATAAATCGTTACACTCTGTTTCTCACAATGTTTAAACTGTAAAGTTACACGACACTCTCTGCACTCTACGTATAAAGTATAATAATTAACTATTTATTTCTATGAAACGACATATTAAAGCCGAGAAAACTGGCGATAACTCTTACTCTCGTGTGTCGCGCGATTATAAATAATAATATACGCTATAACTTTCTCGGAAGGTGTTCTCTAAGGTGTAATATTATGTATGAGACGTAGAAACACATAGTATGTAGGCAAAGAATATTATTTGCAGTCGACAACTGCGATGATACACGTTCAAGAATTTAAATTCCACTCGCTCTTACGTGAATTCTTGAGGGAAGTGCAAGCGTCTAATCTGCCATCTGGCTTAGCAGCAGAGTGAGTAACAACCCTTGATTGATGCTACGGCATTAGTAGCCGACGCTGATCATAAATAAGAGCGCTGTAAGCTTACGGTATCGTGTAACTTTACCGCGGCATTCGCTCACAGATTACTGTGGAATACTACTACATTATTATCCATTAATGCACAAGTTAATTTTAACTTTCTCCGCGCAATGGAGATTATTGATTAGGAGCTATTTATTAAAGAAGAGAGTATATGTATGTGTGATATAGATGCGTCTCACTTCATTAATTAATTCAATTATCATAACGGCTTGACGGAAGGCAAGTGATTTAATCTCCGCGATATTTCGCGAGTCTGACGTTTAAGACTCGTTTCATTAATAACTAGCGGACAATCCGTTTCATCGGGCGCGTCTCTCATTCATTTCGCTCAGACTCGTCGCGATCAGCGAGTCTGGAGGTACAATACTAGGATCTAATACGCACCTGCTCTCTACTTCGGCAGAGGAGAATGAAGAGAAAGAGAGAGAGAGAGAGAGAAAAAGGTCATTTTACCTAACGGAGTGGTCGTAATTCCCGTCAGAGTTAGTATTACACGAACGTGCTTCGAATGCGATAAAATCTTGGCGTATTGACACACGATAAATGAACCTCTCCGTACGCGCATTATTTCGTGATAGTAATACACATATCGTATATGTATACATCGTAATATAATTTGCATTAAATCATCACTGCGTTTTTTTCTACGTGGAAATTAAACACTACATTATTAAATCAAATTGCTGCTCATTTATAATTCCATCGCTTTACTCTCATAATCAGCAGTGTATTGCATGCATTTATAAATCGAGTTATATTATTATATCGAGAGACATTTCTCAAATGTTGAAATGATATTAAAGATTTCGACATATAAACAGCAATCGCGCGCTTTTATCTATTATAACGATATCATTAAAAAAAAAACCATGTCGATGTCGTTTTAAAATATTAATTCATAGCGTATTGGATAAAGCAAGCTTCTGTAGAACTGAAACATTAAAGACTTTAAATTAAATCCGATCGATTATATTGCAGGATTCATGTCACATGTCATACATGTGCCCGAAGGATTAGAAATATTTCATTTCTCGCGTTCGGGATCATTTAACATTATTGCATCTTGGTTCCTGTCAGATCACGGGGCACAGCCTCCGAACGTGATTATAATTACCAGTCCATCGTCGGAGAGCGTCTACCTCCGTCTATAAGCATCGCTAGTAGAGGGTCGGAACCCAAATTGAATCAATCAGGCTTGTATCTGAGCACGTATGTTGCTAATCGAATCGATTCATGTTTCGCCTATACGGAATTTCAACTATCTACCAAAGGATTCATTCGTCTATACGTGCACGAACACATACGGATGTGTGGATGTATACTTGTTGTACAAAGATACAGTGTCATACCCCGATACAAGCGACTGCGCAAACATATATCGCGAGAGAGAATAATGACTTCTTAGTGCGCGATATTAATATTCCGCTGTCGGACGAGTAATGACTTTTTCTTCCAAATATACATATATAGCGCACTGATGAATATTGTTGAAACTTTGGGTTACAGGTGATGAGAGCGACACGTTGCGGGAGTTGAAGCGGCTGCCGAGAAGCGGCGAGGAAGTGGCGAGGTTCGTGAAAATCGGCACCGGAGGCGTACGATCCGGGCAGCGGTAGTGGTGGCGGAGCGGCAGGGGTGAGACTCGATTTTATTTATATTTCATAAAGACAAAGTGGAAAAGAAAAATGAATAAGTAAATCACCGGACTTAAGGAATCCCGAAATTAATTATCCAATTTTTAATTTCTATTTTTATAAAAAGATGGATCGATTGATTGATTTTCTTGGTTTTGTATATACATTCGATTTTTCTCCATTAATTTAAGTACGAATTAATAACGCTTGGACGCTGAAATTTTTATGTAGATTTAATAACATCATGTTTAATAATCGCATCACGCAAATTAACGCATGCAAGTCAGATTTTATGCAAAATAGAATTATAAAACACATTCGCAATTTTCCGTGCAAAAGCACACGCAAATTTTCGAAAAATCGTCAGTCGTGAACATTTAATGCGTTGAATTAAGTTCGCGATCGTTACTTACTGTCACTTGGTTGTTATATCTCAAGAACCGCAGCGTGTCCGCTATATTCTTTACGACTTAGTACTTCTGGTTTATGTGACATATTGAGCGCTGTGTCATTTATCGGTCGTAGCTCACCTCGACCAACGATTGTTACGGTTGCGTGTGTGTACTATACTTGTAACCGCTTTATGCCCGCAGGTACTATGGGAGCGGGGGTATGGGGGGCGGAGGAGGGCTACAAGCCACGGACCTCCGGCGAAGGCTCGAGTTCCAGTGTACCGGAGGAACTTGTTCGCAGGGTCTTCGGTCCCTAAGACACGACAGCTACCATGCCACCGAGGAGAACGCAGCGTGTGACGACCACGAGGACAGGTGAGCGATCATACAGATGCAACTTATTTATTTAGACTAATACAGGGTGTCCGGTAACTAACGGATCAATGATTAAGGGCGGATTCTCTGACCAATTTGGAGACGATTTTTCCTTAGCAAAAATGTTGAGAAGTCAATAATTTTCGAGTTATAAGCGATTGAAAAAAATGGGTTTTTTGAAAACTAAACGTTTTGGAGTTAAAAGTCTAACATAATTACATTCTTCAGTTAATTTCAGGTAGAGTTTGCTATAATAAAATTTTAATTTGAGACTTAGTCATAATGACAAATATTGGAAAGTTGTGAAAAATGATGACCTTTTTCGACATTTTCGCTGAGGAAAAATCGTTCCCAAATTGACCAAAGAATCCATTTGTAATCGTTGGTCCGTTAGTTACCGAACACCCTGTATACAGTGAAGAGGCTCTGATGTATAAATAGAAAATTCAGATATATAGGCCGATTGTTCCAACTTGTTGCCAAGTTGTACCCGACAAGTAGCATACTTTCGGATAAATTCGAAAAGAGAGACGAAGATATTTGTTGAGTAATATTTACCTAGAAATTCGGAACAATCGGTCCTAAAACAGCTGACAGATCTTCATAGAAATGACGATGATTTTGTCTTAGGAGGACTGACCACGAGGCGATCCTCGCTTCCGGTCAGCCCACCTGCACAGGCTGTCGACCGTATAGACGCCAGGAGAACGAAGAGGTTGAGAAGAAGGAGATTCTGAAGCGACGCATGCCCGAATCGAATGGGATCGGTGCGGTGTCCTGGAAGCTGCGGCTTTGTCTGGGCTTTTTCGAACACGCGAGAAATAACACGGAAGAGGACGACGAAGGAAAGAGGCATCGGTTACGGTGGTGTCGCAGGGACTTTCGACGAATCGTGGAAGTGGCGACGAGAGCTCTGCTACTTGGTATCGCGCTCCTCGTCACGCCAGGTATTTATTATTCCATCATATATAACACATCGCTGTCTCTTTATTTTGGAAAATATTTTTAATGCGAGAGAAATTGATTTTCGAAAAATTCGAGTATTTTTAAAACCCGTGTATACGTAATCCAGAATTCCAAATATTTGTTTTATTTAATAATTTAGTCGCGTCAATATTCGTAGTGCCGTTGCGTATTATTATTGTGCTATACTCTCGAAACTATGATAACGCGGCGTCCCCTGTCGCATTCGGGAATCTCTTCATTTGTCGGCCGGTGCAATCTCGTGTTCGTTCCTCAATTAGCGGGAACCGCAAATTAGAGTTCGCTAGTTGGCGGGACGTCCGAATGATCGCTAATGCCCTGGCACCGTATCTCACGAAACGGGTCGTTGCTTCTCAAATCCGACGAGCCATAGGCGGACACCGGAATGGAGAGCTTGCGGTGTGTAATGGGACGTCGACTGAGATCGACAAATGAAGCGAAATAAGCCGGCCCAGCGCGATCAGATAATGGAGTATCGGGAGCGAGACTGCCAAGTGTGCTTAAGTCAGGGAAGATGAAACGAAACGGGAAGATAAGCTCGATTTTCGCTCGATTGTCGTCGCGACTTTGTGAAACTCTGCGAAAAATACAATACAATCACGTAAAAGACTAATACGTTCCGTGAACGTTCGTTACAAGAGCGAAATCAATTCAATCAACGTGGGATTTCGCCTTTTATTAACGATCGACAAATTGCTAATGCGCGAATACATAATTGCACGGTCGAATTTGTCATAATTTTTATCTGTGACAGGCGCATCTGGCCGGATTGTGCTGCGAGTCTCATTCAAACCTCGCGATCGGGAATATATTCTCTTTTTGGCACTCGCTCGCGCGAGTTTCAATCTGAAAGAATTTTCCGTCACGAACCGTAGCGGGCGTGAATGGTCGCACCTGAAAAGAGAGACTGAGCCTTTTATCAATGCTTTGAATTCGTTTCGATATGCGGCAACTCGGCTGTTCGACAATTCGAAAAATGGTCCTCTGTCAAATGCGGGACATTGTCATATCCGCTGCGCGAGGAACGGATAAAAAGCGCGATATCAATTTTCCCACCAACGTTTTACGTAATAATATTTACATATATACTTTCTTCTCGGTATTTTACGGTATTACACGAGATATGCGACGCTCGCGACGTTAATTAAATTTGCATTTAGGAAAAAAGTAGAACATTGAAGAGCCGTAATTATAATTCTGTTCGGCGCGGTTTCGTTGTAAAATAAAAATTATAATTGATTTAAAAAAAAAACGAGTACACACGGTTTCTCAATTGTATCGTAGGAGAGGCAGTTTTACACTTCGCATCACGTTCTGTTTTTACAATTATTCCGGCTGAAGTGATACTCTAAACCACGAGAACCTTAATCACGCCGTCGCCACGAGATTACTGATGAAGAATAAAAAAAAAAGAAAAAAAACGGAAAGAAAAAATAAAAATGCGCAGGACACACTCGTGTTTCAGTCAGAGGTTCCTCTTTTTTTTTTTTTTACATGGACGTTATACGAGGATCCTTATGATGCTCGTTACTCAGCGCAAACAATTTCATTAAAACTCCGGTCTTTCTCTCTTTCTCTTGCAAAGTCTCATTCAAAATATATATAACGCGCAACTGCGTTAATGACACGCACATATGGTAATATGTGAAAACTCGCATTATCCTGCAATTAAAATACGCATTGCCTCGCTACTCCTGGAGATGGAAAATATAATTAATCGCAGCAACTTTGTAATGATTGTTTACTCCGAGCGCATAATTTCTCATTCGTTTTTGCGGTGTCGGATATTTGTCATCGCAGCAACTTTGCGACGATTTATTTCGAATGAAAACATTGCACGGGTGGAAGACGACAAAAAGGAACATTCCGCATACGAATATAAACGCCGAAATATTGGGCATCTAGTTGAAAATGCTTATCACGAGTAAAGTAAATATTGGGACGATATAGTGCAGTATCTGCGAAGTGCTGTTCTTAATTAAAAATCGTAACAATCAAATGCTCCAATTAATAATGCCGCTGTTATTTTCACAATGGGCTTCATTAATTTTCGCAGTTGCATATACATATTTACATACGTAAAATAAAATACGCGCAACATAGTTACATAATACTGCGGTAAATAATTTAAAATACCCCAAATGAAAAAGATATACGTACAGCTTCCGGGGAAGAAGTATACGTATTTTCGTATATATGTATATATTATATAGATTCTCTTAATTAAATTCTAGTCCACTTTCGCGCTCACGTATCGCGTTAACGTTTCGATGTTTAATTGAGTTTATCATGTTCCATTATATAATCTGCGGCGTACACGGAAAGAGATAAATGTATATATTTCATCATTTAAGAATAACACATTACAAAAGACACCGGGGAGAAACATTAGCGGAATAGAAACAGGAAACTGAAGCACGGGACGAGCTGTTTCTTCTTCAAGAGCTACGTCAATCGCGACAAATTTCTTTCTCGTTGCGCGAGAATCGTTTAGCTTCATAAATTTCGCATACTTTGCGACTGCATGACGGATGATTACGGGCTTCTTCCTTCTAGCGGCTATCAAAGCGTGGCAGATGGCGGACAAGTTGCAAACGATGTGACTTGTATAGAGAGGGTACGTTGCCCTTGATAAATACGCTTGGTGCATAGCGTGGCGATCGATCGCGACGAAATCTCGAAATAGCACACGACGACAATCCGATCCGCGATATAGTCGACATTGCGCGATGCGATGCGATGTTGTCGTCGGCAAAGTTCAGGATCCCCCTGATTGTACGAAGATTGCATCGGGATTCGCGTTTACACGCGTGTTTTTATCCTTGCATGCACGCGGTGCATATGGCGGTTGCACACAGGAGAGTTGCACCGTCATCATCAGCGATTACGGTTTCTTCGCTGATCGCGAGCAAGTTTTATCCTAGCATCGGCAAGTTTACGCCGCGCAAAGTCGTTAAGACGGAAAGATAAATAGGATTTTTTTATTTCCAAACAAACGGAGCTCGCGCAAACGCACGTACGAGCCTCGGTGATAGCGCGGCTAAAGTCGATATTAATGGGGCGAAGCCCCTCGAGGCGATGGTTGGTTTGGTTTTCACGAAAAAGGATTTTCGTGTTTCACGTTCGGGTCCGAGCTACATTTACCGGTTTCGTTTATTCGAAATAATTAAAACCTATCTTTGAATCCTGAACTCATTAAGGTAATAGTATACTCGTTAGCCCCGCTTAATTGCTCTACCTTTCGCTTCATCCAATTGGATACCTCGCGTGCGGTGCTGTCTCAACACATATCTGGCTATTTAGCTTACACGAGGCATGGCGAGCTGATGGAACGGTTCGCTAATTTCACGCTTCGGTGGTATTTGAAAATTCGTTGGCAAAGATGAGAAGCTACTTCCTGAGCTTTATTCGACCCTCTCGTGTTTACGAACGAACGCGAATTCTAATGTATCCCAAACTTTTGCGTATCTATTAATCAAATATATTTCAGATTTATATAAATAAATTATGTATAAAAGGAATTAAATTAGAGAAATAAGACTTTATTTAATAATATTTAATTTGAAAATGTTTACATGTATAAAAAATTTTAATTATAAAATTTCCACTGAGGGAGAATGAATTGAAAAACGGTTTAAGTTAATATTTGTTCTAGTTTGCAAAATATTTTTTTTCAAAACAAGAACAACAAGAACGACGGAAGTAAAATATTTTGTTTTTGTAGCGTGCGTGGAGATAAGCAAAATTTTTCGCGTTTTATCCATGTACACACCCCCGGCTGCATATATTCCCGGCGAAACATTCAAATGAATTGCTCAATCTGTTTATCCACGCCGGAAAAACAACCGCGAAGTAAAAGGCGGTTTGCCAAAACGACGTGGAAGTGATTCTGTCTAACTCCCATCCTCCTTTACCATAGTTCTCCCTCCTGCCCTGGATTAACGGGCTGTGAAACGGAAAAGTCTTTCCCGCGCATAAAGAGAATTTCCGCGCCGGTTGCTCGTTCCTGCTTCAGATTTTCGATGATCGGGTAATACGACTCAACCGAGTTTCGCTCGGTTATAAAGTTGAGGAACAAATAATTCGTCGTGTGCGTTTGTTACCACGCGCGCGCGCAAAAGATTTAGCAAATCCTGATGTATTCTACGAACCGTTCATCCACGATATACACCGTTCCAAACAAAAAAAAAAAAAAAAAAAAAAAAAATAAGAACGCTCGCATTATCGCAATTAAATGAAATCGGCAATTTTACAGCATCACAAATTGCGGTGCGAATATCATTTCGCTGATATTTCGCGGTAATATCATAAATGCATAAATCCTGAAAAAAATATAACCGCGTCTCTCTGCAACGTGGAACGTTTTTAAAAATATTTTAATATCCGTAATATTTGTATGTGAAGATGATGTTGAATGTTGGGTTTCACGGCTATATTAAGGCTCTCTTTCCAGGCAGTCGGTTCATTCAACGGACAAATTAGCACACATCGCGCGTATAATGATAATTATAATTACCGCGAGTACCGACGTATATACGTACGTAAAGAGGGATGCGGCGAAAGGGGCGGTTTTATTTCGCTTTCCGGAGATAACGAGGTGTTCCCGTACACGCGCCCGCAGACAGACCGTTGAAAATTTAATAACAAGTAACAATAAAAATCGTTATTTGGATATGCGACATTATCCCAGGAGGATCGGAGCAATGGCGATAATGGCCGCGTCGGTTTGCGCGTCCAAGTTGAGATTATTATTCGCGTCGCGTCGCGAATAATAATCCACACCGGACTAAAATCGTTCGGGTCGTCGAACGATCGGAGGGCGTTATGCCAGTTTCGTCGTATCAATATTCGTTGTCAATAATATCGTGTCACGGCTCTATCCCCCGTTACGTTAATAACGCGTCGCTCGATCCCCAAACGTCGATCATGTGCCGGACATTTCGGACAGCCGTTACGCGAGATAAAAATTTAATTTCAGATTAAATTCGAAGAAGATACAGCTTTAATAATTGCGGGAAGATTACGGCGAATCGCAGACTCGAGATATTAATTGAACAAAAAAATCTGGGAAGATTACGTGTCGCGAGATACTCGAACCTTGCTCCGAAGCAATTTTCGATCCTTCTCAGAAGTTCTCGGAGTATCGTTCTCGTTATTTCGATTTATTACATTTAAACGATCGGAAACGTCGAGTATGATGTACGAGTTAGCGTGACTTTTCTCCTTCATGGCGTCGAACTATTACCAGGTCGCGATGCGCATATTTTTTTTATCGAGAAAAATGTCTCTCGCCAAGTGTCGAACTCTCGATGGTTCGCCGGAAAGAAACCACGATTCATGATATTACACACAGGAAAGTTACGTGTCCATATCTGTCTACTGTATAAATATAAATGTGCATCGCGAGACATCTCGTTCGCGAGAGAGCTATACTTTAATTTGAGAATATTAATATAACAATGGACAGAAATAGTGTAAACGTTCAACTCTAGTTTCAATTTGAAAATGAGAGAATGGTGCATTTTATGGTAAACATATAATTAAATTAAATATTTTCACCGGAGAATATTTTACTAAATTTTATTCCACAAATTTGCTACAATTTTCTTTATTAAATCTTGTGTCACGTAGATTTTTAAATTTATATGACGCAGGTATAAAGTGCACGACAAAATATCGCGATGTAACAATTTCAACATAATAAACGACTGATAAATCGCGAGATAAATATCGACGCACGTCACAAACGAGACGGCCAACGTTGAACGTAACCCAATTTCGTCCCAAAATTCCCTTGTATATTTTTTTCCCGGACGATGAAAATATCTCCGATTTAAAACTCATCCGGCACCGTAGGTTTGTCGTCGTGAAACGCATTTCGGAGGTTTGCGCGCGCCCGAGGAGAGAGATTTATTACGGTCCCCTTTGTCGTACAACGCGTACGAGCGCCAAAAATGTGTCGTATTTGCAACATCGGGGGATCTCAAAGGGGACGGCTATCAAAGTCGCGTCCATTATTCGAAATGGATGCCATTGTGCTGCCGAAGGCGGGAACGGGAAGATCCCTCTCTCGATGTTAGCGATTTTCTGCGGTTTCGGTCGTCAGCTTTTCCGAGCAACCGACCGTTGCAACAGAACGCTTTGATGCGAGGCTCGACTGTTCCCAAAGTTAGCTGGGCATTAAGCGACGTCGCTTGTATAGATGCACGATCTATGCAAAGGTGAAACGAGCCGCGCATAGTCGCAGTTACGAAATTGTGTGCAATGAGACGTCGTACTTTGGACGAGCTATACAAATTAGTTGCATATTCGTGAAATTCAAATATAGTTTGCGTATGATTAACAATAATAATTAATTAATGCTAATAATTATAACAATAATGATTAATAGTAATAATTAATAATAATTAATTAATTATAAATAATAATACAATAATTTATATTTAAATAGAATTTATTGTTATAATATAATTATTGTTGATATTTTGGAGATTATTTCAAAATTATTACATTTTGTAGTAATTTTATTGTAAAAAAAAAAAAAAACACAAGTTGGGAAAATATAAATTTTATGCGGTGAATTTTGAAATCTTGAATAATTGCAGGACACATCAATCAAATGTAACAGTCGTTTCGTGACAAAATTTAGATCGTAATGGCGCTACTGCATTAAGAACTCGAAGAGAACAGTAGTTGGCAAAGTAGTAAAAAGTCCATGAAAATGCGGCAGCTGTTTACCGCAGTGAAACGTTAATCGCGACGATCGTGACGCAGCGGCGAAAGGCCAGGATAAAACGAAAATTGGAAGGGCCGCGACAGATTCGCGTCCGAAGTTTGCTTGTCAGCAGTCAAATCGATATTTCCTCTAGTCGCGAACTTTTCTCCGGACGCAAAGTAGATCGGCTGTCATTCCCGATTTGTGTTTCCTCCGACCGATAGAGCTTCTTGCTACGTACAACTTTGCGATTACTTTGCGCGAATGCCGCGCTGACATACATATATATATATATATATATATATATATATATATTTCTACGAATTAGTTTTAGTATTTGGACCTTTTAGTTTTCGCCACAATAAACTTCCCCTCCGTGTGTCTGTTTTAGACATCTGACCGACTCCATTCACGTTTCTTACGCCGCGTTTCTCTTATTTTTCTCTCTTGCGCGATTATTCGAAAATGATATAGTCCCTTGCAAGATTTTTAATCTTTTGCTCGGTTTTTTTAGAAAGTTGATTGGGTCAGGGCCAATAGCAAAAAGTTTGCTAAATCAAATGAATTTCTTCTCGAAATAAAAACAATCTTGCAAATATTTCTAAACTACAAGAGGATGATTATATTTGATCAATTAGTGCTTGGATATTCTCCTAATGCATTTAATGATAAGATATATCGAAGCAATTTGCATCAATTTCGTATACCGCGAGAATCAAAAGTGTTTTGAATTTCGAGTATCAATTTATCTTGGATAGCAGTGCCCTTTAATTCATCCGTGTTCCCCGTTTGCCCTAAGAACATTAATTATCCCGAGGCAGTTTCTTCCTCCTCGAGCTCGCCTGTATTATATCCTTCCCGACGTGTTTACCATCGTCGTTTCACAACGTCACGGTATGCCGGCTACTTTTTTTTCCCTCGACCCGATATTTCCCGATATATAATTTATGGCGATGTCTCCCCGTTTGCCATTCGTAAACAGGGCTTTAAGACGGCAAGAAGGAACGTATCGAGGTATGCTAACTATCCGTCGATATCGCCCTACGGGAAGAAGGATTTCGCGAACGGAGACCGTCGTCGTTATCACGCGCGACACGCGAAGCGATTTTTCTCTGGCCGGCGTTATCTCGAGCATACAAAATCGAGGTCGCACTCGATCTTACGACATCGCATAGAGGTTAATGCGAAGTTAATCTTACGAGACCCCGACGACGTTGCTCGCGTGCGGCATCGGGTTTCCCCAGACTCTCGCGAAAGGAAAGGAGCGACGACAACCATTGCCCCTGATTTACCTTTAATGGCTTTTAATGCCTTCCTGTCGGAGTCCGAGCGACATTAGAGAACGGCCCCCGTCTTTCGTACTTTTCTTTCCCACGACAAAACTCGAGCAAAAATTACGAGCTCTCGTACATTTCACGTCTTGTTTTTATCATCTGTCATTTTTATAGCGCGATTTATTTGCTTATATATTTAATCCTTCTATCAATAAAAGGGTTCGCAGAGAGGAGCAAGAGAGGACATTTGCCTCCCTTGGAATCAGAAAAAAAATTAAGCTTTCGCTCTCCTTTTGAATAAACATTGGAATTTATTTGTGTATTTAATATGATGAAAATAATGAAAATATAGCAAAACAACAAGAAAATTAAATTTGAAAATAACAATTGAAAAAGCTCTTTTTTATTAAAATTAAGGAGTATAAAAAGGCTTGTAAGAGCTGTGTAAATGGTAATTAAGTTTACTAAGAATCAATGCATATAATAAGAAATTATAAGATAAAAGAAGTTTTAAGTAAATAATTATTCAAAAAGTAAACGAAAAAGTAAACCGCAAGCGTTGTGGGAGTCTTCTTTTTAAACATAATTGACTGTCTATGGCTAACGTATTTAATATCTGGTTATTGTAAAATATTTCTATATACATTATGACTCCTGTAGGTTATTAGTTTTGATACAAAGTTTTAGTTGATTCTTTTCCTAATTATTTATATTTTGCGCTGAAGACGACTTGAAAAATCAAGTCGAAACGTCCGTTCTGACTTCGTTCCAACTTTCCGCTATGAGTCTATTTATTTAACTTATTTTATTGTAACTGTTAATTTCCATATATGCGATTATCCATGTTTTATTTAATTTTTCGCTCGTATCTTATAATTTCTTATTATATGCGTTGATTCTTAGTAAACTTAATTGTCATTTACACAGCTCTTACAAGCCTTTTTATACTCCTTAAATTCGAAAAATTGAATTGCGTCCTGCGGACGCCTATGGTAGATGTGATAGATCAACTGAAGAGTTAATTTCGGAAAATTGATCTTACTAATGACATAACGATCTTTGTTCCAGGACTCTGTCAACAGGACGCGGTGCACATCACGGCTATCCTCGGGGAGAGCGTTGTCTTCAACTGTCACGTAGAGTTCCCCGGTGAGCACCCAGTGCCCTACGTTCTCCAATGGGAGAAGAAGGTAGGCGACACGGTACGATATCGGACGATATCGCCTCTGCTCTCTATATCCGTGAGTTAAAAAAGACGAGGGGCACTCCTCGAGTGCGCCACGCCGCCTCTGGTCATCAAGCAAGCTGCTAGTATACCATTTCGCGATTTTGAGATTCGCTCGATGTCATTTGGAGCGTAAAGTTTCCTTTCGCTTCGCTTCTTCGGGGCAATCGATGCATATAAAGTCGCAAGCACGCCTTCCAACGCCATGAACACCCTCACTTATCGAAGAGTTGTAGCAATGGCACACGTTGTAATTCCGCATGATTAGTACGGATACAGTAGGGCATACAAAATGATGAAGTAGTAGTTACGGCGTGAGTAATGGAACATAAATATAATAAATCGGCGCAAGAGTGGTGGAAAAATCGACGTTTCAATCGACGCTTAATCGAGAGACACACTCCGCGAGATATTTTAAATTTCTTCGGATGGAAATCCACTGGAAATTATCGCAGTTCACTCGGCGCGTGCTCACTGCCGTGGAAAGAAATTTGCACTTCCGAGACTTCTTTTTTAATTCCCCGATTTAACGTTGCATAATCGTGAACTGGAGCGTGAAGAGGCAATATGGAAAAGAGAGAGAGAGAGAGAGAAAAAGAAAAGAGAAAGAGGCGTGACTCGACTTGTACTGTGTTCGAATAAATAATTATTTCCCATGAATTTTACGAGCCAACTTTTCCTTTTCATTTTTATAAATTCAAATCATATTTTCAAAAAAACATATTAATATAATTGATAGAATTGATAGAATTCTTTCTTTTTCTCAAAAAGTTCTAAATTTTCCTAATACGTTTCGAGTAATATATTTTTTAATAAAGTTCCTTAAATTCCAGAATTGTTTGCAAAATTGGAAAGTGCGAAGCTATATTTTTGGAATTTCGTGTATTGCGTTTAATAGCCCCAGAACTATCGTCGCGCTCATCTTTCATTTCGGTGATAATAATCAATATAGATTTTACGCGATATCACGAAATATATCCAACCAGAAATAAATTTACGTACACTGACCGAATATTTCCGGAATATAGTGATTTTTTTCGCTAAGCCAAGCTACATAGGTGGTATCAATGGCGCTGGAATGTCCTCAGGAATTTTTCCAATATTCGCACAAAGTTGCTTAACAATGAATGTTACATATGGTTCTGCTAGTGAGCTTATATACTATAGAGCTTGAACCAGCGAGGCAGAGCGCAACGGAGGGCACACGTTTTTGAAATGTTACTGCAACGTTATTGTTGAGAGACTTTTAAATTGGCCGTATATTTTCAATGATTTGTTGGCTTTACGCGCTTATATATACGTATATTTCCGTTGTCCATTTTGTATCTTGTTTTTTTCATTTAAATTGGTGGGATCGACAATGGCGAACGGGACACGCCTTCTCGTTCATGCGAAGTAGAGAGTTAAAAAGTTATAACGTATACCTACGTTGTCACAAATATGTATCTCATCCGGACTGGAGAGGGCAGAGCACATTATGTACGAACAATTAACGACGTCATCCGATCATTCAATCAGTACAAATCAATACAAACTAATTCTCCAAATCATACGAATGCAAAAAAAAAAGACTTTCTTCATTCATACGCATCTCATGTGATATAACCACATACATCGCGATATATATACATATATGTGTACATGGAGCCATCACTGCGAATGCACGCTGGAAATGAGCGATACGTCTCGATTCGTAGACTCCTAATTAATACAAATTAAAAGCTGCTGAAAGAGCTACATTTATAATAAATGTTTAACGTCAACGCGTCGGAGAAACTTATTAGAGTGTAAACTTGCGCGATAAAAATTATTAATTAAAGATAATTGATATCTATTGATCTCCGTAACACGTGTATATAATCTGCCAATTAATGAAGATTAATTTATTTCTGATGAATTTCCTGATATTTTTATTCGTAATTGCAAAACTTGCTCCGAATTGTGACGAATCGACGGGACGTATGCCTCGCGATTTTTCACGTGCGCTCGCACGCGCTCGACAATATACTCGTGGTAGATTCTTCCTCTCATGGAGAGAGTTCGTTGCACCGTTTCGAGAGAGAGAGAGCGGAAGAGCCGGTCCGGTCGTGACGCGTGTAACCCGGTATCCGGGAAACCCACGCCGCAAACGGGACCGCCTACGCGCGCTCGTAAAGTCGCACCACGACAATGTTACTCTTCTCACGTAAGGGAGAGATTTTCTTCCCGATTAAATATAAGTATCCGACGCGTTGCGCGCGTTCACGACTCGTCGCGGCTCTCTCGAACGACGAGCTCGCCGTTTCACGGATCTTCGCGTCGTTTTCTTCTTCTTCTTATTTTTTATCTTCGCGATATAAAGAAGCGAGAGAATTTCAGATCGTTCTTCGACTGTCTGGAGTTTTATACATTTACCATGAATTTTTTTTTTTTAGTATAACGTCTACATGAAAAAAGACACTTTCACAAAAGTAGAAAGGTAGAAGGAAAAATGAAGAGTTATTTATTTAATTTTTTTTCTTGAAATATATATACTGGAATATATAATATTAATTACCTTTCTCGACAGTATATAGCGATGAAGCGATATGATATTTGGCTCGGAATCAACAAACACATTCTACTTATTGGGGCTGACATTCGCAACTTTGACTCTTCGTTTCTTTCGAATCGATATATACCTATATACGAGTATTTGGAATTACTCACGCGAAACGGCGAGCTCGTCCATCGCGAAACAATGCGGAGTAGTGCACTTTCCCACTTCTATTTCGGGGACGGAAAATTGAAAAATCATGTCTCTGTCTCTCTAACCTCTGGTGCCTTGCATGTGTTGTCGCTTGCGCACGTGGTGGTGATACTGATGTTGATGTTGATGTTGATGGCGGTGGTGGTGACGGATTTAATCCGGAAGGAAACACGTACGGTTGTCACGTATCAAAATGTCTCGTCGATGCGGGCGCAATGAAATCGCGTCGTGATTCATCACGCGAATCTTACGGCATACCACAGATATATATACGTAAACGTTATCGTGCACCTCTTTGCAAAGATCCGACATTACCCCGCTGCGAGCACGTGACATGTACGGCATTATAATGCGTGTACGTATACGCGAGTGTGCGTAGATAATCTTGCCTGTTGGTAGTGTAATATGATTATCTCCCGTATATTCCTTATTATGTATTAGTTGCATGCACGTTAACGCGTCGCCGCGAATTTGTACCGTCCCGTTGCACTTATCGGCGCGTGTGTCTCGCGATCAATATAATACAATATCTCGCTAATCTGGCGAGCCCGCTGGCGCGAGATATCATCTCGCCGGTCGGTAATTGCCGCGAGATAAATTGATTAAAATTAAAACACGATACGATACGATGGAGTACGCGCGTGAGGTTAACGCAATCCGACGAATTATAGCGTTCGGAAGGGAGGGAATAAAAATTGTGTCGTGTAGAGAGAAAGGAAAAAAAGCGCGTCGAAAATTCGTGCTTTTTTAATGTGTATAAAAACTCCGGGCGAAATCGGTTCCGGATGGCTCTAACGATACCGGACTTCGGAAGCGCGTATCAACCGTTGCATTCAATATTGACTGCGCAAACCTTCCGCCATCGTCCCGTAATTAATTAATCGATCGATCTCTCGGGCGGGAACAACGCTGTATGATCGTCGGAGATCGGAAATCGCGAGCGATTGGTTGGTTAATGCCTCGCGTAGATCTTAAGCCGCCTGATCATGCCTGATCGCACTCGAAAATGTAGACATGACTTTACGGTACGATCGGTAGCAGCGGCTTTCTCGTAATAGATGATGTTGTATACCTACTTTGCACGCGGAATCGATATGATGGAAATTAATCGCGAGCATAATCGCGTCGTGTCGCATCGCTGGTCGTGGAATGTCATGAATGCGAATTCCGTAAGCAAATCTCGCGCGTTAGAGGCCACGTAAAACGACAAACCAATATGTTTTATTCGATGTTGTACTCCGCATTTGAATTTCGATTATGCGTGCATGACTCGATTAAATCAAATGTCAAATTTCGAATACAATTTACCGATAATTAATATGTATGTCCAAGTTAATGAGATTCAAATATAAAAGAGAACATACACGATGAAAACTGCAATATCCGTATAAAATAAAATATTTCCGGTAAAGAGTAAAAAAAAAAAAAAAAAAATTCATGACAACAAGTCAGAGAAATTAAATATATGAAGATCATTTACATGAGGGAGACAAAAATGTGAGTGCGCATCTTCAAAAGGAGAGATACTGTATCAAAGAAGAGCGCTCTACGCGCGGTTGTCCCGAGTGTCCGTAGTGTACTTTCATGGCAAAAAAAAGTGTCCCACTTCCTCTGTATGTGTATAATATCGCAAAAAAATTTCAGTACCATCTCGTACTCCAATCTACATTCAACCATTCCAGCAATTTTTCTATTAGCATTAATTACCGTGTCTCGGCAAATCACTTCGGGAAACGGAACGCGAGAGAGGTCAGTTCTCCTCGTGGCCGTTTTTTTTTTTTTTTTTTTTCCCGTCCCTCGGAAAATGCTTCTGAAAGCGGGAGCAGCGGAACGATGCGCCCATTTCCATTTCCAGAGAGACGACTCACGAGGGTGGAGGAAGAGGGGAGATTCCGGGGGTTGGCACGTAGCGAGAGGGGCTGTTTTCTTTTTACGCGCGGCATCGCTGGAATCTCGCATAAATCACGCGAGAAGCCCGGGGGCTTTTGAGCCGCTCTCCTTCATCGTCTCGACCAACCTCGCCCTCTCTCGCGATTCGAACCCTCGCATCCCTTTCCCCTCCGCTTTCGCTCTCCCTCCCTCTTCTGTCTATGGCGCTGCGGCTGACAACTAATTTCTCTTCCCGTCCGACTTTTTTGCACCCCCACGCTCGTCCATGGCGCGAAACTAGCTTCTTCGTCGCGCCGCAATTGCAATTAGCGGCGAAGAATTAAAAGGCTACGATTCATAATTAAGAGGCTGGAGTTTGA